CCCCAGACGCACAGCGGAACCTTTGCTGTGCCTGCTAATGCTCTACCGGGGGGTGAAGCCCCCCCCCCCCCCCCCCCCCCCCCTCAACACACACACACTTATTCACTTAACCAGTGGAAAATCGAGAGCTAACGCTAACTTTTCTCTGTTTTTAAGGAGTTCGAGATTGAGCTGGAGGGCTCTCAGACACTGAGGCTGCTGTGCTACGAGAAGTGCTACAGCAAAAGCAGGCAGAGCAAAGAGGACGGGGAGGCCGCAGACCGGATCATGGCCAAAGGGCAAATAAAGGTGTGCAGAAAAACAGCACCAAAACACACCATAAGCACATGGGGAAACGACAGCCAAAGCTGGCTATCATGGAGCATCTCCCATGACGCCGGTGCTGTCGGGTCCAGAAAACAGCCGTCCTCCTGGCAAACGAGCGCCAGCGGGGCGTTTTAGCTCTGCTGCCACCTCAGCCTGACCCCCTGATACAGTGTGACAGAGGGAGGATTAGACTTTGGTTTAAACAAATGTAGCTGCTGGCATAACAGAGGAGAGGCTTGCAGGGTGCCGGCTGAGGAGCCAGTGGAGGGATTTCCCTGCTCGGGACAGGCGGGACAAACCACACTACAGCCTTTGAGGATGGCAAGCATGTGTTCCGATGCTTCTCGTATTAATCAGAGGTCAAATGCCTGGAGAAAGGGCTCCAGTGGGGAACCTACTGGTGTACTGTAACAAATGTCTTGTGTTATGCTCTGGTTTTAGCCACTTATGCTGCTGAGCCGTAGCTACTTTAGACGCATAAGAGCAAAGTATTCCACCAGAACAACTCAAACCTTATAAACTCAATATGTTTTTAAGATTGCTTTACTGGGGACTTTTACAGCACATACATTACATTTAATTAAAGATTTAAGCAAAAAAACATATTAAGAATTATATAGACATGAAACATTTAAGAATTTAAATGGAAGAAGAAGCAATCCTAAATATACAAACATGTATATATATTCTTTTAGTTTTTTTATTCATGTACAAGCATGCAGAATTGAGCGAAAGTCTGAGGCTGCCCCTTGTTTCTTTAGTCATTCCTTCAAACAGCCCGAGGGGTGATTTATTACTCATTTATTGTTCCTGACCATCCTCAGAGGAATGTGTTTTGTTTGTTAAGCTACTTAAACACCGAGCTATTAAACATTCACATGACAAAAGGCAGGAAACACAAGGGAAAAGCCAGAGTCATGTCTCCAAATAAGACACATTATAAGAGAACCCACATTAAAGGTTGTATTCAGGTACTTTTCTGTTCTGTGGGAGTTTTCGTTCAAACTACAGTGTAAACACCCAGAAAAGCTTCACTTGTTGCTCATAAAGGGCTTAAAATTAAGCATTTAGACCTTCTCTGTTGAAGGTGAACCTCTGGGATGCAGCTCTTACAGAGTCTGAGCCGTTTTTGTGCAGCATGCCGAAGACGGGGCACGTGTAGCTCTGGTGTTAAAGGTCTCTGGCACTCATAAGCGCCTCTAAGAGGATCCTATTTGGCTACCTGTGATGCTACCAGGCCAGCTCTCCTCAGTGGCCGGCGTGAGCTCGCTGGTAATGAGGGTAGAAGGAGATTCTCAGGAGTTAATCCTTCCAATCCATCTGGGAAGTGGAACAAAACAGAGGCGAGTGTGGTCGGCCTCCGTTCCCTCTCTCAACGAGCTCAAAGGCTGACAGTTCGAGGGGACTTCACAGATTCAGGACGACTCGGAGGACATGGGCCCAGCAGCAAGCGGCAAGCAGCTGGTTATGCAGGGATTAAGGACCCGCCACTCTCGTTAGTTCGGGTTAGACGCCGCTTAGCGTTTCTGGATCAGAGATTTTTTTTTGTATTCTTGTGGAAGTTTGCGAAGCACTCATGCCGGAAAGAATCAGTGGGGGTAACCCTAACGAGGAGGAGGATGTTGATCAGGCCGGGGTCGGCCAGGAGGAAGAGGGAGACCCGGCTGTGAGGAGGGCCCCCAGCACAGGGGGGCGTCTCTGGGACAGAGTCCGCAGCAGTCTGCTCAAACCCAAGGTACCGAGACGGGGCCTCCGAGGCCGGGGGTGAAGGATGCCAGGAAACGGGAACGTTTAGGTCTTTAGTACGTCTTTCTGGAGATATTTAAAAGCTCTTAGGAGCTAAAAAAACACATTGGGTCTTCTTTGAGATGCAAAAGGTGTTTATCCTGCATTTTTTATCAAAGAAGTGTTATGTAAGTAGATTTTCTCTGAATAAAGGATTATCCGGAGGAGATTTTAAGGTTTCTTGGGTGACGGAACGGCTGCGGGGTTTTGACAGGGCCAGGGCCGGGTAACGAGGGCATCAGTCATCCCTGATCACAGCTGATGAAAGCCAGGGCTTACCCAACCCAAAGCAAATTAGAAATGAGCGGTTTTCTGTTTTTTTCACTGCTCAGGTCGCTTTTAAGCTCTAATGTGTTAGACAATGGGGCCGATTTCTGCTGAAAAGCGGTAACCCTTTCTTTTTCTTTTGTTTTTGTGCAGTTGGACCCCCAGACGCTGCAGAATAAGGACTGGCAGAGGACGGTCATCACCATGAACGGCGTAGGTGTTTGAATGGAAACTGATCGGGTTAAGAGGCTGATTTTTGCTGAATATCAGCTTAGATGCTCCACCACTAGAAGTCTGTGATGTAAATGTCAGATTTTGCCGCAGACTCCGTTAAAAACACTCTGTTCATTTCTGTTTTACGTATGAAACCATGTAAACAGGATTTCAATGGCTGGTTTAACTGCTGAAAGTGGAAAAAAAACCTGCAGACTGTTCAGGGGAAAGGATGCTATGAAGCCACTTTCACGCTTTGAAAACCGAATAGATTCATCATTTCCCAGGATTAGCTCTTTAATGATTATTATTATTATTATTATTATTATTATTATGGAGATTATTGTGGAAAAAATGGATGAAAGCAAAAATAAAATGTTGCCTTTCTTTTCAATTACGATTATATATAAAAAATATATCATAATAACTGTTTAATTTGTCTTTTTGTTTAAATTTCAAGGCAAACACAGGAGATAACATCAGTTTTTATGGTTAAAATGATTTGAAGTGTTTTTCAGCCTGCTTGCTATGTTACCACACCTTTAGGTTGAAGCTGCTTTATTCCAGACTTTCACGTGATGTTTTAATTTAGTCTCTTCTGCTGAGTGTTAAAAGTTTGGGACACACATTTTCCCACACAGCGCTCAAAGTAACCATTTCCTCCAACTTTCTTCAGATTGAAGTGAAGCTTTCCATGAAGTTCACCAGCAGGGAGTTCAGTCTGAAGCGGATGCCCTCCCGGAAACAGTCCGGCGTCTTTGGAGTCAAAATCAATGTAGTCACAAAGTGAGTTGTTATTATGGTTAGAATTTCTCCCTTGAGATCAATAAAGTATATTCAATTCAATTCAATTCAATTCAATTCAATTCAATATATAACAAATCTGGATATTTATAGTACATTTGTGTCTTTTAGTCAATTTAGGAGATTAAGCCAATTTTGGTTTAGATGTCTGGATAATTAAACAGTCATAATTTAAAATAAATACAGAAATATTTGGAATTTGCAAATAAATGGCACAAAAATGCAAAATAGAATAATTCAATGGAATAAAAATTAATTTTCCACTTTAAAATTTAAACAGCATTTGTTTAAATCTATGTTAATCTTGGCATTTATTTATTTTGCCACTGACTTTTTCTTGTGATTTTTTGTCCAAGCCTATTCAATCTGTCGTTTTTTTTTTTTAGATTGTAATTATTCATAAATAATTTTCCCTTAAATTAGATTGTTTTATTCCCCTCAGAATAACTGGCAAAGTTCATAAATATAATCATTAACATTAATTAATTAAAATTTAGGTGCATTTCTTTTATCATATAAATCTTTTTTTTATTTTTTTATTTCTCATATTCTGCATTTCTTTTGGATTGTGACTGTTTCAGTCCTCTATAAAGAGAAATAAAGCATATCATCAGTTAAAAACGCTTCTTAATAGGAAAAAGTACTCTTAATAATGAAGATGGGGCTCTGGTGTGTTTTACAGTGTTTTCTATGATAGTTTTTATGTTTATCTGCCTCGTTTCTGCCACCTTTAAGGCGCGAGCGCTCCAAAGTGCCGCTCATCGTGCGCCAATGTGTGGAGGAGATCGAGCGGCGAGGGATGGAGGAAGTGGGGATCTACAGGGTCTCCGGCGTGGCCACCGACATCCAGGGGCTGAAGGCCGCCTTCGACTCCAGTGAGTTCAGCAGGCTTTGCTTCCCTGGTGAGGAGGAGGTGTTGTGTGGGGAACATGAAGGTGGATTCGGCTTCATTCTCCCCACAGACAACAAGGACGTGGCGGTCATGATGCGGGAGATGGACGTGAACGCCATCGCAGGGACGCTGAAGCTGTACTTCCGAGAGCTGCCGGAGCCCCTCTTCACAGATGAGCTGTACCCCAACTTCGCTGGAGGCATCGGTCAGTGCAAAAGTCCGACTGATTCAACCTTCTGCGGGTTCTGACAAGTCTGCTCACACTCAGACGCTTGTCTCGCAGCTCTGTCGGACACCGTGGCAAAAGAGAGCTGCATGCTCAACCTGCTGCTGTCGCTGCCAGAGCCCAACCTGGTGACCTTCCTCTTTGTGCTGGACCACCTAAAGAGGTAATTCAGAAACAGATGGCTGAAATGAGTGAATAGATGTGAATAAGATGGAAGCAATGTGAATATATGTATCAATTAAATCCTGTGAATTGGTTGTTGCTGTGGTTAAAGAGGAAAATGCTGTAAAAACATTGTAATAATTAATAATATCACCAAAAACTGAGTCTATATATTTTTTCTTAAAAAAAAGAAATAGTGGAAAATTTGTTAGTAAAGTGACATGTTTTCCATCTCATTTTTTAAATAGTTTTTTTAACTCTGTTTTAGTCTGAGATCTTTCAGTTTTCCCTTTACTTTCTGCCCTGTTTGCACAGAGTGGCTGAAAATGAGGGCGTCAACAAGATGTCTTTGCACAACCTCGCCACCGTTTTTGGCCCCACGCTGCTTCGGCCCTCCGAAAAGGACAGCAAAATCTCCAACAGCTCGCAGCCCATCTCCATGAACGACAGCTGGTCCCTCGAGGTCATGGCTCAGGTACAAACTCTCAACAAGACCAGCGATGTGAGCCAGAGGTTGACCAGAGCTCCCATAACTCCTTCTCGTGCTCCTCCGCAGGTTCAAGTCCTCCTCTACTTCCTCCAGCTGGAGGGCATCCCCGCCCCTGACAGCAAACGCCAGAGCCTTCTCTTCTCCACTGAGGTTTAACACAAACACCATGAACTTGTTTAGGAATGTCCCGCCCAGAGGAGCAAAGCCACCGGCCGCGTTACTCTGTGTTGGCCTCGTTTTGCCACCAGGGGGCGCCACAAACCTTCTGAAAACTGGAAAGAGCCACCCTGATCAAAGCCAATTTCCCACAGAGAGAAAGTAGCTCAGACCTGCTGTGTCCCTCAAAGAAAAACTGTAGAATTTATAAGCAAGATATATCATATATCAAACCTTCGTAGATTTAATTTGAAATAGCAATATTGATTGGATTTGTTTCAGTTCATAGGGCAAACTTGTGCTATTTTGGTATTTTCTAAGATTTATTTCTTAGATGGTTGAATTTATAGTCTGTTTGTTTGTTTGTTTTGTTTTGATTTACCCCCACCCTGACTTTTCTGACTTGGTTTAAAGTTCACCTGTGCCAATGTTCCCACGCCAATGACCAATTTCCCCAATGTTTACACTCTGAACTTTGTACATAATTTAAAAGTATGACACTAAAGCTGTAGTTAGCGCACACCAACATGCAGGCATGTTGACCAAACCTTTGTAAATGTTGTGTAGTGGTGTTTGAATAAACTTTGAAGTGGGCATCAGAGCTTTTTGGGAGTGGTGAAGAAAGATGACAGGAAACTCATTCCAGAAAAAACTCCAAATCTTCCACAGATGGAATGTATACTGTGCTTCGTGTAATTATGGTTTCAGATCGGTCTTTTTGTCTACGTTTCATATTTTTTTGCTTTCTTTGATCCACTTTTTTTGTTCCATCTGCCGTCTTTCTCTTTAGTCCTCTGCCTTTGAATAACCAAACCACACTAGTGTAGAAATGACAGCACCTAAAAGATATTTAAAGCTCCAAACATTCACCTTAGGGCCTCTGAAGCACAGCAGTCTACTCCTATCTAGATATCCTGGGTCATTCAAACACCTGCCATGTCTTAGTATTTTTTTTCCA